ACGAAAATTTTTTTGTTGTTATTTATCAAGATGTGTGACTGTCGAACGCGGAGCGAGTAGTTTTAAATTTCCGCGAAATCAAATCCACCAATCAAAAGTCACGAAAAGACGGTAAAAAATTTCAGCCAATGAGATGAAGCGTTACATTTTTTTTTTTTCCCGACAGTTTGACTTTTTATCCGTTAATTTTTTTTGTTTTGTCATAGTTCGAAGCGTTATGACGATGATGATGATGTGTAAAATTAATTTAATTTAATTTTTGTGATTTGTTTTAATCAAGACCGATTAATAAATAAATAATTGTGATTGTGTTCTTGTTAAAACCGTGCGTGTTATTTTAATAATTTAATTAATGTAAAATCGAATATTAAATATGAAATGAAATCAGTAAATGCAACGGATTTAAAAAAAAAAAAAAAAAAAATGTTATTTATCGAAATGAATTGTTGAATTTCGAGTATTTAATTAAATAAATAAATATGTCCGAATGAAAAAAGTGCTTTTCATAAAGGTTGAGAGAGGATTCAAGGTTGAAAAATTCAAACGTTTTACAAAAAAAACCGTTTTCGTATTGAATTATTATTATTATTAATGTGAAAAAGTCGCCATTAATCAAACGTCTGCGTGAAAACGAGATAATTAACATAAAGCGCGCAAACATTAATGTAATTAAATATCTATTCATTTGTTTTATGGTGCAACATAATATCATTATTATTATTATTATTATTATCATTAATAATTTTTTAAAATAAGCTTCTTATTTTTTTTTACATTTTTTATCTGTAATTTTTTTTTTTTTTTTTTTTTTCTATAAAAAAATTAAAAGGAAAGTGAATATACGTATCGAATGGTTTATTATTAATTTCTTTCATTTATTTTTTATTTTTTTATTAAACATTATCAAATCGTAAATTGTTTTTTTTTTTCTCACAAGCTTTTATTTTTTTTAAATTTGATTTCACTCGTGTGTGTGTGTGTAAGTGTAAGTGTAACGTTATTAGCTCGTCGTAAAAAAAAATATTTTATCTTTTATTATTATCCACCATTAAACACGACAAGGCTACTTGTCGGGGTTTTTAAGTATTTATCCGAGGTTTCTACCCGATTCCTTAGGGACAAATACTCGAATTTCGGTGGTGCCACTTATTATAAGATAGCACCACATCAATTCTTGAAGGTCTTCCTGAGTCCATCTTTATTCGATGGGAACGATTTGTCTCCTGACCTGGGCTCCGGTGACTAACATCTTTGGAGTGGCCAGGGTCAGAAGCAGTGAAATTCACATTCTCGTCGAGCTGCCTCAGGTCGACAGTAGAACAAGATTTTGTTTTTGGTTCTTACTTTGTCTTGTTCTCATTTTTTTGCTCTTTTTTTTAAGCCAACAGCACGTGGCGTTCTCAAACGGTCACCCATCCAAGTTTGCACCACGCCCGATGCTGCTTAACTTCGGTGATCGTACGGGAACCGGTGTGACCAGCACGCTATGGCCGTTGGCTTTATCTTATTATTATTATTATTATTATTATTTGTGTTTTGTTTTTTTAGCCTTCGATATTGGACGAGCCGACGGTTTCGGAACCGAAAAAAAAATCCATTACGAATTCGGAAAAATTTTTAAAAGATTCATTTGGGAAAGATGAAAATCATTACGGTAATAATAACAAAACGAAAACTCCAAGATTCGAAGCATTCATGATGACGGGAGATTTGATATTGAATTTGTCGAGGACTCAACAGAGCAGCGGAATTTTACCCAAGCGACAGAAAAAAATCGACAGTTTGAGGTATTTTATTTATTTATTATTATTATTATTAATTACGTAATGTCGTACGTAATGTTACCGTACTTGCTAATCCCACGTCTCTTAAATGTTATGTAAGTGTGCGACACTCATAAAAAACGATAAAAATATTAATTTTTATAATGGATGTAATGATTTATTATTTGAAAAAAAGAGAGAGAGAGAGAGATAGAGATAGAGCCACGTCTTTATAAAAAAATTTTTTTTTTTTTCCCCCCATAAGATAAAAATTGTCTGAGTTTGCTGTTGAGTTTTTTTTTTTTTTTTTCTGTTTTTTATTGAACGCGTTAAAATATTTGCGGGCTTACAGGCGACGGAAAGTTGGCTGTCTGACGCAAAAAGCTAAGGAAATCCCTTCCTTAAACTGAATGCCAACTCCCCACAATAAAAAATTTCAAACGTTCAAATTAAAAATAATAATAATAATAATGAAAATTACCTAAAATAAACATTTAAAAAAAAAAAAAAAAACCTTTAGGTGTTTATATTATTATTATTATTATTAATTTATTTATTTACATTGCGGTGTGTGGGTGTGTGTGTGTGTGTGTGTGTGTAATCAAATATTTAAATTTATTTATTTGTTAAACGTTTGAATAATTGAACCTCCCCCCCCCCTTGCAGTTTCAGGTATCATCATCACAAAAATCACAATCGTCAGGATCATCACAATTCGGTACCCACAAGCCCAAATGAATCTAATTCGGGTATAAGAAAAAGATCATTGTCATCCCCGCCGGAGAGTCCGACAAGTACCGACGAATCGAAAACGTTCGGTGGAACATCTTGTTACACTTTTCAAACGGGTGTCAGAACTAGCCGAAGTGAAGATCATTTACAATGCCAGGTTTTGAAGAAGTTTGAAAATTACCAAAAAAAAAAAAAAATTTTTTTTAACTCTTCTCCTTATTTATTTATTTAATTATTTGTTTTTTTTCCAGAAAAATTCATCTATTTCCACGGTGGATATAGACATAGATGACGACATTAGAAGTAGTTTGAATACGTTGCTTGATACTAGAGTGGATGGTGATAAAACCACAACACATCATTGTAATTCAATTTCAGATAGAATAGGAACGGGTCCGATCGATGATCGGTCATCTGACAGTTTAGAAATGTCATCATCAAATACAACGGTATTACACATAGCCGAAGAGCCTCCACACGTAAAATTAGAAATTTCTAATGGGAGTCAAAATACGAGTGGAGAACGAAAAACGAAGCCTTCGGAAGAGGGCAAAAGAATATCGGAACCTCCTCATAAAAGAGAGGAAAATAGGAAAAGTGGTAATTTCGATAAGATTAATAACGAATGCTCGAAGAATTCCGGTGAGTGAACATTTCGGATAAATTTATACGTTGAGTAAGAAAATTGTGACGAATACTATTTAAATTGCACCCACGTTTGCAGGTTTAGAAAAAGGATCGCCCAAAACCGATAGAATAGTTTGGACTTACAACGCTCCTCATTCGGGATCTCCCTCTCACTCGAATTGCGGTTCCGTTTCCGGTTCGGAACATAATTTGTGTCACGCGAGCACGATTTCTTCTTCGTCTAGTTCTCAAAGAAGCCTTTCACCGGTATCACCGACGAGTGTTTCCTCTTCGATAATGTCATCGAATTCGAATTCGTTGCAGCAAAAAAATCAGCAACCCGAAATTGAAATGAAACCGCAAAGCAATCACAATTCAATTCCGGATCACTGGAATCCCACGAGCGACGTGTCTGCGAGCGAAGCCGTTTCGAACATTTCTTCTCCCGACTATCAAGAAGAAATAACAATGGACATACTCAACGCGAGAGATTTAATGATGGAAATAAGTGATCCTAGTGATTCCGATTCGACTTTATTAGTGAGCGATCCTGTATCGGGATCGCAAAATCGAAGTACTGCTAACAGTGATAAAAACGAAGAAAAAATGCCCAGGGGAAAAAGCAAATTAAACGGTAAACCCAATTGCTTTTTCTCGAATACCAGTGATCATAAAATAATAATTCAAGTCAAAGGACCGGAAACGACGAATGTTATTAGAAATAATAATAATTTTTATCAAGAAAAGGAAACGACCGAACAGACAAATTCGGAGGTTCGTTAATATTTATTAATCAATTAATTCAAAAAATGTTCATCAAAATAAAATTTATATCGCGTTTAAAAAATTAAAAATAGGACGTGATAAAAGATTAGTAAAGCTTAAAATAATTTAAAACCCTCTTAAACCTTTTTTTTTTTTTTTTTAGGAGTCGAAGGAGAAGGAGGGCTGTGACGAAACTTGCGAAGATGGAGTTAATAAATCGCCTTCTCAATCTGGTAGCGACGAAGACAGCGACATTGAATCCTTACACAGTTTTCATTATTCACCGAAAGCGGTCGATCTTCCAAGTGCAATAAGATTAGCTAAAAGGTTGTACACGTTGGACGGTTTTAAGAAAAGCGACGTTTCCAGGCATTTAAGTAAAAAGTATATATTTTACTATTTTATTTTACTATTGTAATTATTGTAATTAACTGTGTTTCGTTATGGCTAATCGTGAAAATGGATTTTACAGTAACGACTTCAGCCGTGCAGTGGCAGAAGAATATTTAAAACATTTTACTTTTACGAAAGACACACTGGATACGGCATTACGAAAGTTCCTTAAACAATTCAGCCTGGCGGGGGAAACTCAGGAAAGAGAAAGGGTTTTAGTACATTTTTCAAAAAGGTATCTGGAATGTAATCCCGGTACTTTTAATTCTCAAGGTAAACATTTGGGTCGGGGGGGGGGGAAAACTCAAGTTAGGAGTGTGTTGAGATGAATTCTTTTTCAGATGCGGTTCACACGTTAACATGCGCTCTCATGCTTCTAAACACGGATTTAAACGGTCAGAATATAAGTAGAAAAATGACATGTGAAGAATTCATAGATAATTTAAGGGATTTAAACGAAGGGGAAAATTTTCCACGAGATATTCTTAAAGCTCTTTATCAGGCCATAAAAAATTATCCACTCGAATGGGCATTGTGAGTGTTTAATAAAAAATTTTCTTGCACTTGACTATTTTTTCATTTGATAAAAATTACAAAAAAATTTTTTTTTTTTTTTTTTTTTTTTGTTAAAGGGATGATGAAGCAGATCGAGTGAGCAATCAACTTTCCGTTGACGAAAAAGGGGATTTGAGTAATTACTACGGAAATCCATTTTTAGGA